ATGAGATCGAATCCAAACAGGCGCAACCCTGATCATTGGTGTGAGTTTCATAATGACCACGGGCATAAAACAGCAGACTGTAGATTTTTACAAAGTGAAGTTGATCATTTATTAAAATAAGGGTATCTCACCGAGTTATTCAGTGAGAAAGGTAAGCAAGCTTACATGAAGAATAGGCAGGAACCCCCTAAACCACCTTATCCCATAACGATGGCGTATTATCTCCTCATAACGATGCCCTGGTAATATCTTTAATTGTATATGATACTAATGTGAAACGAATTTTGATTGATCCAGGTAGTTCCGTGAACATTATTTTTCTAAGAGTATTACGTGAGATGCAAGCTGAGGATAAATTAATACCAAAGGCGCATACTTTATCTGGATTTGACAATTCTAGTGTTGTGACGAAAGGAGAGGTAACACTCACCACATTCGCAGAAGGAGTTGTCAAAGATACAAAGTTTCAAGTAGTAGATATGGAGATAGCTTACAATATGATCCTTGGGAGACCATGGATCCACAAAATGGATGTCGTTCCTTCAACCTTGCATCAAGTTATTAAATTTCCATCACCATGGGGAATATGTCAAATCCGCGGGGATCAACATACATCCAGGAGCATCAACTCTATAGCAGATTCAAGTATGAAAAAGAAGAAAAATAGCAATCACAGAAGATAGTTGAGGGCACCACAGCACAAACCTCAACTGAACAAGGGAAGACGGATGTGGATTCAAGGCCTGATATCATTTAAGAACCAGAAGAAAACGAAAATATCAAAACAACAATTGAAGAACTGGAGGTTGTGGTGCTATTTGCACAATGGCCTGATAAGAAAGTCTACGTAGGGTCCAATCTAAGCCAAGGCATGAGAAGTAAGTTAATTGAATTTTTGAAAACTAACTTGGACTATTTTGCTTGGTCCCGCTCTAACATGACAGGAATACCACCGGAGGTAATGACTCACAAATTGAATGGACCCAACGTACCCTCATGCCAAACAAAAGAAAAGAAAGCAAGGAACTTTTAAGAATCAAGTGATTCAAGATGAGGTTCAAAAATTGCTAAAGATTGGATCCATCCGCAAGGTAAAATATCCTAATTGGTTAGCCAATACTGTTGTAGTTCCAAAGAAGAATGGTAAGTGGCGAGTTTGTGTGGATTACACAGACCTTAATAAAGCTTGTCCTAAAGATTCTTTTCCACTACTACATATAGATCAGCTAATTGATGCTACTGCAGGGCATGAACTATTAAGTTTTTTAGATGCATATTCATGTTACAATCTGATCAAAATAGATCCGGTAGATGAGGAAAAAACTTCATTCATAATAGACAGGGGGACTTACTGTTATAAAGTAATGCCTTTTGGTCTCAAAAATGCTGGTGCAACATATCAAAGGCTAGTTACTAAAATGTTTCAAGAACATCTGGGAAAACCATGGAGGTTTATATAGAAGATATGCTCGTTAAAACTCAGCATTCGAGAGATCATATATCACACTTGTCTCATACATTTCAGATTTTGCACAAATTTAATATGAAATTAAATCCGGAGAAATGTGCATTTGGTGTCGCATCAGGTAAGTTTTTGGGTTTTCTTGTTTCTAAACGTGGTATTGAAGTGAATCCCGCACAGATTAAGGCCATTAATGAAATTTCTTATATGCTTTCAAGCAAAAAAGAAGTGCAGAGGTTGACAGGAAGAATTGCAGCCTTGGGAAGATTCATTTCTAAATCATAAGAAAAGTGCTTTAAATTCTTTTCAGCTCTTAAAAAGCAAGATCACTTTGAATGGAACGAGGAATGTCAGCAGACACTAAAAAATTTGAAGACATACTTATCAAATCCACCATTGCTTGCAAAACCAAAGGCTGGAAAAAGACTGCTCATCTACCTTGTTGTTTCAGAAGTAACGGTAAGTGTTGTTTTAGTCCGTGAGGACCAAGGTAAACAATCTCCGATCTATTATGTTAGCAAATCTTTGTTAGATGCAGAGACACGGTACCCTCAATTGGAAAAGCTTGCACTTGCATTAATCATGGCATCTAGAAAATTAAGGCCTTATTTTCAATGTCATCCTATTACTGTAGTAACTGCTTATCCATTACGCAATATATTACATAAGCATGAATTGTCAGGTAGGTTAGCTAAATGGGCTATAGAATTAAGGGAATATGATATCACCTACCAACCTAGAACTGTTATAAAATCTCAAGTGTTAGCTGATTTCATGGCTGATTTTAGCTAAGGGATGCAATTAGAAGCAAAAAAAGAGTTGCAGGTGTTCAACGGAGCTAACTCAGGAACTTGGACCTTGTTTACTGATGGTTTATCTAACGTAAAGGGTATTGGTTTAGGGATTATTTTGGTACCACCTATGGGTGAAACCACTCGATAAGCCATAAAATGTTATTCTATAACTAACAATGAGG